AAAGTATTTTCTCGGTGACATGAGAGATTCGTTTTAGAATAGAGGCAGAGGCCTCCCTTGAACCTATAGGCCGTGTGTTGGTGGATAAATTGACCTGTCTCAGTGAGAGCCAATATGTCTGGCTTTTCAATTCGAAGGTGTCGATGGACATCATTGATGTTTTTACTGAGACCTCGGATGTTACATCATCATCGCTTTTTCTGTATTGAAGAGGTAGGTTGGCGTGGAAGGAAAGGGAGATAGGATTAGGTTGAGTTGGCCGGAATCATCAACCAGCTACTGAAACACGGGTATGACCCATTTCACAGTGCCTAATGTTGATGTGATGGCATTGCACCGGGCGGTGACGTTTAGTTGCCTACTACGACAGGCAGGATTTATCGTGGGGTTATTATAATCCGAACACTACACGGGACACCCAAGTTTCGTAATAGATGGAAATAATCGTTGTAAGAAATGTTATTTGTTGTTTTAGTTGCTAATCATGGTTTTCCGGCTTAGTGTGAGTAGTTTTCGGTGTTTCAGTAACTCATTCAATATTATAAATAAGCAAAAAGATGATTTTGTGAATAAATATGGTCTTGTTTGAGGGCTTGCTTTTGTTGATTAGAAGCCCCAAAAAGAAATTTAGTTTATATACCTATTTACAGTTGGAAATGAAGTGTTATTGCAAACTGGTGGGAATGCTTTATATCAATGTGACTAAAAATCGAAACTTTGATGAAAATTTCATACCAGTCATTTCAGATGCTTTATTTCGACAATGCTACAATGGTAACCAGCAGATTTTTTGAAAATTTGTCATCCACATGTGAAGAATATCTGGGTCGCCTATTATGGATGCAGCTGTAGTCATGATATTTTGAATTAGCTCATCTCTGGTCTGTAGCTTATTTGAATACAACAGGTAACTAGTAGATGTTGGCAAAAATGCAATTTTCAGATTAAATCTACGGTTTTTTTTTATGTCTACAAGCATTTCTCATTCTTGACCTGGCAACACTGGCAAAGACGTATGTTAGCCGACCAAATCAGCCTCTCTAGTAAGGTTGCCTTTCAGATTCCCTATATTATGTAACAATTCGGCAAACGATCTGTATATGACGACCCACATATAAGGTGATCCAATTAGTTTGAACAATGTTCTGAAATACCTACTTGCGATCGATGACCAAATACAGGGTTCTGAAATATCTACTTGCAATACTTTCATCAGGGATGTTCAATACCTATATTACATTCATTGTTGATAATGGCCGACTGCCGACTTGTTGGTATTTTGGGAGCAAAGACAGACTATAGTGTGGAGACTTTAACTGGTATAAATTATCGCCAGCGATAAAGTGGATGATTTTCCCAAAAATTCCAGAGACCCGTCAACGTTTTTATGAAATTTATCTACTTTCTGCAAGTAATATAGAGAATATATCCCTTTATAGGGTAAGGGGAGCACATGTGTGTGTCCATCTTGCAGTTTATCTGGCGGGACACACCTTATGGTATTCAAGTCTAACCATTTTTTCTAGAGAAAATTGATTGACATTTCCATGATTCATGTTTTTTTTATATAGAAAAGTGCAAACCATAGCTATGTTGTTCATGAATCTAACATACACTACCTATCAGTAGTTTAATAGATTTCATAGGGAATAGGTAATCTTTCTATTTTTTTTGTCTGGAATAAAAGATGAGTAACAAATTTCATATTTTGGTAATCAATTAGTGATAAATTAGTGACAAATTATGGTAATATTGTTATTGAAAAAATAAATGGATAGATACAGAGTAGTTCTGCTAGCTTCATATAAACCATAGATTTTTTTATGAATAAGATGAGTGACAAATTTTCTGAAGTTTTGGTAGCATCAATTTTTCTGAAAAGTGAATAGATATGGAGTGGATCTGCCAAGTTCATATAAATCTAGCAGAACCATGGATTTTTTTTAAATGATGAGGGATTGAGGGAGAAATGTTGTGTTATGGTAAAAAATTACTGATACATAAGTGACAAATTATGGCATAGTTGAAAATTCAAAATTCCAAAATGGTTCTGCTAAGTTTATTGGGGTGGAGAAATTCACACTGCAAAATATTCCAAAAAGGCAAAATAAACCAATTGTTACTTTTGTAGAGAATTGGTCATTGGATTGATCTGTGAATTAGCTGAAAGATATTTTCCTATGAAATAACCTCAAAATGCACAAATTTCAAGAGACTTTCATCTATTGTCCCAAAATGTTATAGACAGCACATTTGAAACAGATGATGAATTGACAATGTGTTCCAGAAAGCAGTATTACAGAAAAAATACAGTAATTGTTAGTTTATTTACCATTATTTGAGAACTGGAATTTTCATCAAAATTGTTTCATAATTTTTTATGTTGAGCATCACAAATAGCATGAACAATTTTTTGTCCATAGTTAGAAGAAAAGAAAACTCACAAATATTTAAAGGTGAGTTCAAAGAATTCAAGTTGTTTAGTAGATATTGGAGGAATCCCTAGGGCTGAATGTATTATATAGACACAATAATTATCACCAAATTCATTGAATGTTATTCATGAGGTAATTCAGTATTTAAAAATAAAAATTCAATGATATCATTTTGTTCATGACCTTTTCAATATGTTCAGCCACATTTAAAAAACAAATGGAATAATAATTGACTCACTTTACTCATGTTGGATGAAAACATTCTATAAATAATAATAAATGAATTATTTTATTTATCAAGAATTCCTTATCTAATTAATTATGATTTAATGAAGTAGAAAATTTTATTCAGACTCAACTGTTCTTAGGTACTAGGTAGGTAAATAGTAAAGTCATACTGATTGTTTACTTCCATAATCCCAGTAATTTAAAAACCACTTTCAACAGCTGATTCAAATATTCCCCTGATGGCCTGATGATTCAATGTTGAAGAATCTATGAATGTGCAATGTCAAGTTCCATTCCACTTGACTGAGTACACATCAAATGAAGTGAAATAGTGAGATCTTACCTATAATGATGATCAATATAATAACGCCAATAACACCCATAATTATCATCATCTTGATGTTTTTCCACCAATATTTCCTCTTCAGCTTCTGAGCTTGTTGTTCAAATCTCTTGCCACCTTCCTGCAGAGCATCAGCCCTGCTGTCCAGCTCTGACAATTTTTGGTCCCTCTCAAGTACCTTTTCCACATTCACCCTCATTATGCCCACAACCTCGTTAACCTGTTGCTGGGTCTGCTCCAATTTGGAGGGCATCCTACTACTTGCACTGGGATTTTCCATATTGGATGCTGCAAAATAATATGTATTGCTTGGCATAACTTCGCAGGTTTTGAGGATCCTATCTTATCTATTATAATTTATAGTTGGTCAAAAACAATGAAATTGTGGACCCGTATACCATTGACGTGATGACAAGATAACGTGACATAGGTATTGGATCTGCTTACTTCAATATGACTTCAAATCAATTTCAATCTGTAATAGAAAAAATTGATAATTTGTAACACTTACCACTTCCCTTTGTTATCAAAATTGATTAAACTAAAAATAAATCAAACGACAAAATAAAAAATGACGTTTCCTAATTTCAACAAATCGCCATATTTTTTTTTGGAATTTGTAAAATGTATGTAAATTGTAAATGTCATTGATGACTTAAAATTCACCCACAGACAGGGTTGCCAACCTTTCGATTCACGATTATGAGGGCTAATGGTGAGTTCCCAATGCAACGTTTTTGCTTTACGCGTCGCGCGTCATGCAACCTGTTTGGTGACGCTGAATTTGAAGAATATTTGACGTGATGAAGTTAAAATATTTTGACTTTTTGGCGTTGCTGATCCGTGTTGTGTTGAGGTTATGTTCGAGAAACCTAGATATTCATTGAAGCAATTTAAATTCCTTCAACACGAGATTTTTCATGAAAAAGTAGAAATTTTGAAAACAACTTCATTAAACCATCATTTCTGAAAGTGATCTAATGATAAGTGAATCACTGCTATATCACTGAGGTAGGTACTTACCTAATAATCTCATTTACACTATGCTATTTTCGGTTTTTGATGAATTACTCATATAATGCAGCTCTGTATATTTACATTACAGGATATCCCTTTACGTGGAACCAGAACATAAGAAAAAATATTTCCAGTATTCTCAGATATTCTCATGATTTTTCAATGCAAACTTCAATTACATCGACAATGATAGGTAATTTCATTGGGAACTGAAGTAAATAATAAAAAACAGTGCAGTAATTCACATTTACGTGTCACCAATCATAATGCGTGACGCGTGACGCGAAAAGCGGCATGGGAACTCATCTTAACATTTTCAGTCTCACCAGCTGGCGCCACGTGAACGTGACTCGTGAAGGACAGGTGAAATTGAATTCATGCTGCGGGTATGTTCCGTAAATCAACTTGGTTATTCCGGTTAGTAGTTTTCCGTTCCGTAAATATGAAATGTTCGGTTGGTTCCTGAAAAAAAGGTTATTTACGGAACTCGGTTGCTGAAAAAGCGGTAGATTCACTGTCACCAGAACGACCGTTGATTTTCTCTGGTAAGTTCGGTAAGCTCGAGTTGACGTTGATGTGATTTAGTTTTCAGTTTGATTCTTTCATTTACAAATCACAGGGAAAACAATTCCTCCATTTCAATTATTGCGTCAAGTTCCGATGGATTCGTTTACTGAGGTAATTCAATAATATTCGATTTATTTTCAGTTTGATGACTTTTTTTTATTTTAGAACACTACATCCTTTGCTCGTTCTTACTGTGCACAAGATCAAACGATTTTTGGGTGCAATATAAGTGAAAATCAAATACTGGCAGAGCATGAATGTGTAAAAAACCATCAAAACTATGAATTGACAAATGATTGGTATTCCGTAAATAATCCACAACCATAGTCACCAGTAGATAACCACTGTCAATATTGTTGGTACTGGCCATGAAAGCATTGGTAACCTTGGTTGATTAACGGAACATATCCGCTGTAATATGACAAGTTGACAAGAAAATGAATTTTCTAACCTATATCCCAAATGCCAAATTTGTGGCCAAATGTAATTATTTGAATTTCTTGTTTACATTATTATTATTCAAAAACATTTAAATTTCAAAATATGTCTAAAAAAACAATTAAACGTGAAAGAAAGAGTCTCATCTATCATTACGATACAGAAATAGCCTCTGCATTCAAAGTGGACTGTGAAGAATTTCTCGATGAGTTTGAATCACTACAATCCTTCAATTATTCTGATTTTGTGGAGATCTGGCAGCATAAGAATTTTTCATATATTTTTGCGTAAGTGGAGAATATTTTTATACAGACAAATATTTTATGTACTGAAATATTCAGATTTTTTTCTAATGTGGCAGCCGAGGTGGCAACATATTTGCATAGACAGGATGTCCCTAAAATACATAGAAAAATTTCAGACACATATTCTACAGGAACAGATATATTCAAAAGATTTGGAAATGTTGAGAATTTTCCAAAATTTTGATCAGGGGCGTGGGAAATAGGTGGGGCTAGGGGCATTTTTTTGCTAAAAATGATATTTCCATATTTCCTGGTCAAACTGCCGAAAATTGCAATGAAAAAAGTCAGGGGGAAGAAATGCCCCTGCCCACCTATTTCTCACGCCCCTGATTAAAATTTCGGAACATTCTCAACAATTCCAAATTTTTACAAAAAACCATCCTCTAGGGCCCTCTTTCAGATGGCTATAACTCCCCAGTGGGCTATTTCTCGGTTCATATGTTGATATGAACTTTTCTCGGAACTTTTTTATTTTTCTGTTCCTGGAATCTGTGATTGAAATCTTTCTATGTAATTTCTGGACACTGTATAACCCGTAGGTAAACGTTTTCATTCATTTTTGCATTATTAGGGAATGTTTCTGTAGACACATGAAACCACCAAGAAAACCCACCTTGAGAGCCATATAGAGAAAGACTTGAAAAGGTTTTTATTTTACTGATTATGGCTCTGGTTGAGGTGAATGAAGAATAAAATAAGTCCATCCTTTTTAAATTCATCAAACAATACCTAATTTTCACAGGGCCTTTTTCACCATAAATCACATAAGGCCTGTGCCTTTTGGGCCTGGTGCAAAGTAGGGCCCCAAAAAAGGATTGAAAAATAGTATATTACACACCAAGGTGGGAAGAGATTCATTCCTGTCGTGAGATTAGTTAGTTAACCAAGACGCAAAGCGTCGAGTTAGCGTCGAGGTAAGCTATAATTTCGAGACAGGAATGAAACCTCCTACTGCTCCTACCGAGGTTTGTATACTATTTTATTCACAACCATCATATTTCTATCAAAATTAATAAATCTATGTTTTGTTCTGAACATACCTGAATTATTACATGAGTGAGGGCGGGAAGTAGAGGTGTGTAATGTGACACATCCCAACCTTCAATGACGTTAGTAATGACAACATTACATATATGGTTGTAAATAAAATGATATACCTAAACTATTCCAATTATTTCATTACCGAAATAAGCCCTAACTGAAAATAAAAATGACTCAGATAACTTTAATATGCCATTACACTTCTCTTGATAACTGCATTCATACGTTATACAGGGTGAGTCATGACTAATCAGCCATAGCTCATTGGCAGAATATATTCTGCCTATTCATAACAGATATACAGGGCTTTATTTGAATTCAGGGCGAATCATATTTTAAAAAAAAATCTCATCAGAATCAGAAAAACACTACAAGTATAGCTTTTTTATTTGTACGGCACTTTAACAGTTTTAATCTTCTCCTGAAGATGCTAACATAGTTAGCGAAACACGTGTTGAGGTGTAAAAATTCGGTTTGGTTAGAGGTAAAACAGTGTGTAGTGTATTATGTGCCAAAGGTTCCAGTCTTTGACATATTCTTTTCTAGTGTTTTCTGGATAATGAAAACACCAAACTCACAATTTGATTTGCTGAGAGAGCTCACATGCAATGAGATCATATTCAATATCACCTCAAAATGTTCTCAATGTAGTATGAGTTGACACATATTTCTGATTCGGAAAAAATATTTCACATAAGCAATATTTTTTTATATTTTTTATCTCTTGGAGCGCACGAAAGGACATTCCTATAATGTTCGAAGAACATCGTGCACACCTAGGGAGGATAGAGAGAGGAGGTAGGTATTGGATTTTTTTAAAATTAGGTACTTATTTCCATGTTTTGAAAGGTCTCTTCAAGAAAAGTGACTCCGGTCCTGGAATTTTTCATCGAATAGAGCCACTTTCCAACTCTTATAATACACCAATATGCAAGGAATAGATTTAAATGAATTTTTTGAACGATGTGACTACAATAGCTAGTACGAAATCATGGAATCGTTCATCAGTATTTTGTTCGATATTTTTTCACTAATCAGGTCGAAGTGTGCCGTAAAAATCGAAAAGCTACAGTTGTAGTATTTTTCCTGATCTTTCTGACTCTGATGAAAGTTTTTGAAAAATTCGATTCAGCAAGTCGAATTTTTGACATTTAAAAAGAAAATGAATTTTCCAATTCCGGCTCTGGATTTTTTTTTCTATAGTAGGCTATCGGGTGGTGTGTCATTAGAGGTAAGTTTGCTGGTGAATTTCAGGAGATAACATAGAGACATTCCTGAAATATCGTTCATCAAAGTTTCACCCTGAATTCAAATAATGCCCTGTATTTTTTCACATATATATATCAACTCACCTTGACTTCCTCTATCTACCATTAGGCTATGGCTGGTTTTATCAATTTCTAGTTCAAAACGAAAATTGGAAATTTAAAAAATGAGTTGGCAAAATTCACTTACGCCCTCTTCCAAAAAAGCCTCTTTCAGGTCGTCCCTGACCGAAATAGCTAACGTTCGTTTTATCGGTTATATTTCCTGATATCGAGTAGGATTTGAGAATTTGGCAACAATGTTTTTATACTTAAAAGTATTCAGATGAAAGATATATTTATAAATATATGGTGTTTGCGATGATGCGCTTTTGTTTGCCCAAAACTTGACGGCAATAAACAGTTGAAAATCGCCCTTTAAGAAGAATTTCACACTTTCAGTTCAACCTCCCCTGTTGAGAGCACGTGCCGCCACTGGTACATACATAAGTGTATAAGTTATGTTATTGGTTAAACCAATGACGGCTTAATATCAAGTAAGCTGCCGACCATGTCGGTTAAACATTAACATAGTAAACATCGATCCAACATCGATCTAACTGACAGCACCGAATGTTCTCGTTATGACAGCGGCGGATTATAGGCGAATTTCTCATGGTGAGGGGGCGCCAAACCAAGCTTAAGTTCCATTCTGGTATTATCAACGATAGGCAATATGGCTTTCGTCATCAGAGATCAACTGCGGTGACCTGCTCGCTTACGTCGCACATATATGGCAGCAATCTATTGAAAAATATGGTGAAACCTTAGCCGTGGCACTTGATATCTCCAAGACATTCGATCGAGTCTGGCACCACGGACTCCTCGCCAAGCTTCCATCTTATGGCTTGCCTCCCCAGCTATGTTCTCTGCTAGTTAGTTTTCTCTCAAACAGGTCTCTCCATGTAGTGGTTGACGGAGTTTCATCTGACTTTCTTATCATGTTCCGCAAGGATCAATTCAAGCACCAACACCATTTCTATTCCATATCAACGATTAGTTGGAAGCAACTTCATGTCCAGTACACAGCTTCGCGGATGATAGTACCCTCCATACCGCCTTCTCTTCCAGGGCTCCAATACCAGCCAGGCAAATCAGAAACGAACGAGGGAGAAATGTTGACAACATAAGTATGGGCAATTCGTCTTGTGGGTGATGGCTCGCTCACAAACTCACTCACTTCTTTATTCCAAATTTTTTGGGATCTTCTCTCCTCGTTTCTATAAAATAAAAATATGAATATTATTTCAATATACGTGTAGTAAGGACAAATCAGATGATTTGCCCCAAAATGTCACTGCGTTTAAAGAATTTTCCTATCAGAGAGCCTAAAAGAAAAATTCACTAGCTTGTCAGTGACAATTTGTATTGAAAAAAGTTTGGAGAAGAGAAATAAAGGTATATAGAAAAAATATTAAATTTTCACTTATCTTTGGACGTTTCGGGACCGATTCTGCTCCCGTTTTCAACACAAGATATGATTATTTCAATAGCTAAGTCGTATTTGTCTTGAAGCTTTTCAGTTTTCATTAACAATTGGTGACGTTGAAAACGGGAGCAGAATCGGTCCCGAAACGTCCAGAGATAAGTGAAAATTTGATATTTTTTCTATATACATACCTTTATTTCTCTTCTCCAAACTTTTTTCAATACGAATTGTCACTGACAAGCTGGTGATTTTTTTCTTTTAGGCTCTCTGATAGGAAAATTCTTTAGACGCAGTTGACATTCTGGGCCAAATCATCTGATTTGTCCTTACTACACGTATATTGAAATAATATTCATATTTTTATTTTATAGAAACGAGGAGAGAAAATCACAAAAAAATTGGAATAATGAATGTACCACCTCCTCGATTAACCTACAGACAGTATTCACTCACTTCTCTGGGACACCGTAGAAAATTTGGCGATCTCGTGTAGTTGAGGCTTCGCACCCCTACGTGGTCACTTTGGAGACATGCAGAACATCTCTTTCCAAAGACTCGTTCATCCAACGAACAGCGAGACTCTGGAACACATTGCGAAGGGAGGTGTTCCCCGAGGCATATTACCTCCAGAAATTTAAGAAGAACACCAATTCCTACCATATTTCCCTTGGTTTTCACGATGTTCTCTGAACATTACAGGATATCCCTTTTCGTGAGAACCAGAACATAAAAAAAATTCAAGAGACGCTGAATATTATGCGCCTTTGGCTATTATGAGGATTTTTAATTATTATTTATCAATCCTTCAGATTACAAAATATCATTGGACAGGTCATATAATTCAAGGTTCATACATATAACAAAAAAGTATATACAAAAGTAATACATTTCACACAGAACAGTTAGAAACACAGTTGTTTGCATTGAAAAACTCATGAGATATTGTAAAAATAACCCTCAATGAGAAATTTTCGAGATCATTCTTGATCTCGTTGAGATTTTCATTCAGAGTTACATTAAAGGGCAAATGATTGAAAAACTTTATCCCCATATAAAAAGGGCTCTTTTCATATAGGCTTGTGCGGTGTTCAAGAGATTTTTATTGCGCGGAAAATGATCATTATTATATATTTTATTTTTAACTTGTGTAGTTTTTTTTTTCGTATACATCACACAATGATAAATATAGATGGAGTAAAAGGTGAGCAAGTTCTGTTTTCGAAATATAGGTCGACTGCTTTCCCTGTGATCAAGATTGAAAATTGTGAATCGATAAAACATAATCACGAATCTGCGATAAAAATAACAAGTTTCCATCCTTCAAGTTTGAACCCCTTGATTTGGTGAAAGTGAAAATGGAGAAAATAAACATCTATAACGAAATTATTATAAAACGGAATTTTTTGAAAACTCAATTTTTGAAATTCTCAAGATTCCTTTTCTCTATAGGGGCGCTGGAATTTATTGCCAAACGACCAAACGTCACTGCGTTATGAAAGTATCTCGGAAAATATCGTTCTTGCCTTATTTCTGTTACCTATTCGTCGACATTCTCAATATTAAGATCTGTGATTAAGATATGAAATTCACTACATCTGATTCTATGTAACGATTATTATCATGATCAGAAAGATACTCTGCTTTATTAGTCTCTGTTCTACTGTAACCATAGAATAATGAAGTCATTAATCTATGCAGTAACTATTCTGTTATTTTCATTCATTTTCAGGGGTCAAAACTACGCACTTCTCCTGAAGGAATTTTGTGAAAACTGCTTTTACAGTGTTAAGAAGTTCATAATGTTTCCCCGGACCCTATATTCTCAAATTGGAGCTTTTTATCTACTGTATGGATTGTATTATAAACAACCTGTGAGGTAAGTTTGATAAAAATTGAATTGAGGACTTGCTGGTTGAAAGCAATTGCTGTAAATTATGACGAGGAGGGGATGATTTTCTCTATGCCCTCGAGTTGATTCAAAAGCCTTTAAATAACTCGAAAACAAAAGACGATAGATGTTTTTCCGCCACAGTTGCTGAATATTCTCCTAGTGCAGGAGAGTAGCTATTAAAATACGGTCGTAAAATAGTATATTGTTTAACGAGTACTGAATTATATTAATTCCCACGAATGAAATCATACTAGTGGCAATCTGCAGCGAGTTATACGCTATACTTTTTCTACGGCTAGTTATACGCTATACTTTTTCTACGGCTGAAAAAGATAGCAACGAAATTTTCTTCGGCTTTTAGCCATCTGCTCATATATCAGACAGTGCTGTCATTGCTTGAAATTTGACATTTCATGGGAGATGAGATTATGTGAAATGATAACGCAATGAAGTCATTGTGATCAGATACGGAAATGAAATTGATGCCATACAAAGTACTTATTCGATTAATTGCACACAGTATGACAAAAGCAGTTTTGTGTTATAGCCTTAGAAAATAGTATATTGTTTAACTAGCACGCTTAATCGGCGGTCTTAGGACTGCTGGCTGGAGACTGCCCTGCACTGATGAGAGTCATAGAGTTCGAAGCCGGTCTGTAGGTGTCTAGCGTGGCCTGGCTAAATCGAAATCAATAGGCATTCAGGAAAGAATCACTTGTATCAGTATTCGTTCATACGAGTCGATGCATAGATTTCGGGATAGTAGTTGTTTTTCTCCAGAAATCTACCATTGTTGTTCATTTCATGAACATTGTGTAGAAATGACTTTGAGCTTTTTGTATTTATTAAACATTTCATTCCACTTTGAGCATTGTGGCGATTTCGTAGTTAGAGCTGTCATTGCTTGGAAGATGAGATTTTGTGAAGTAATAACACAATGAAGTCATTGTGATATCAGATACGGAAATGAAATTGATGACATGTACAGTACCTCATTGATTAGCTCCTAGGAACTAAAAAGGATGTACTGGACGTTATCAAGAATAAACAACATTGTGACGGTTGGTTATTTGGGTTGAGACGCATACCTGATTTGTTTCCGATATCTGCAGATTTGGCATTTCATACCCATGCAGGAGATATAAATACACCTTATAGTTTAGTATTGGAATTATAAACATCTCAGCTGAGTATTTTTGTTTGATCAAGGAAGCCTTCAAGATTCAAATACTTGCTTGATCCTGTATTTCATTCGTTATTCTCGGGATGGATAACTGGTTTTTGAATAATCACGGCGAGCAATAGTTTTCTGTCTCAAACAACGATATTTTTTAGCTTCATTTGATTATCAAGTCAACCACAGTGTAGTATGGAGAGGAATAAATAATCAATATTATCAATGTCTATATGCTCACTAACCTAACATTTTCCACGTCTTGTTCCTATAGCTATCGCAAATTTTGCTTTCGCTCGGCTTCGCTAAACGCTCCGCCTCGCAAATGCAAAATTCGCTTGTCAAACAAAGTTTCACTTTCGATCCTAATAAAACAATCTACTATTTTTCTCCAAGCGGCAGGGATAGTGGCTTTTTCTGCCGCTCAACAGGCAGAAAAGGTGTACTTTCACTGCCTAGGCAGAAAAAGTTTGTTGCTATGCAACGTTCCAAGAAATTCTAATGAAATTAGTAATCAAAATTGACACTGACACTGGGTGAACACAAAATGATGGAGTTTTCAATAAAAAAATTACACAAAATTGGTTTCATATAATTTGGAGAAAAAATTCTATGTTTCACACGGCAGCAAATGTAGATTGACTGCCTTGGCTGATAGTTCATAGCCTAGTAAAACAAATAACTATTGTTTTACTAGGCAGAAGAGTACAAGATTTAATGCCGCGGCTGGTTTTGATTGTCGAGGCTTTGTTCACCCAATGTCATTGTCAATTTTGTATTTTGATTGCCAATTTGATTCAAATTATTACTTTGAACCTTACATAGCACCAAACTTTTTCTGCCTAGGCAGTAAGAATACACCTTTATACCTGTTAACTGCCATCAAAAAGTCACTTCTAATGTAATTTGTTGGAAAAAGTATTTTTATGTCATGGTTATTAATTTCATTCTAATGTAATTTGGTGAAAATAGTATTATTATGCCATGGTTATTGATTTAATTTATAAATGATTTCTAGGGATTGGGTGAAAATAAGGCTAACACTAGACGAATACGAGAGAATCGTTGAACTCATTCAAGAAATGAGCAATAGAGATCAGTTAGACGCTGTATATATCTTTGCTAAAATGAAAGCTGAAAATGTATTTACGTACGTAGCTCAGAGAAGACAATTGGGACCTGAAGATAGATTCGTGAAATGTATTCAACTGTACTACAATGATACATTCACATCTTCCAAAACTCAAAGCTCCATAGTGAAATTTGATGAAATCTGTACTTCTTCAGAACTCGTTAGACAATTGCAAAGTACGAACGCTGAGTATCAGGAAATGCTGAAAAAATATTCTGGTAAGAAATAAAACTTTTATGTTCTCTTATAATTCAAAATATTCCACGACACAATATCCTGAAACGAAATATTATGAGATTTAATACTCATTCACAAAATATTCTGAGAAAATATACTCATTCACAAAATATATACTAAGATGAAATGCACCAGACAAAATGACCACTAGCAAAATGATTTAGAGAATTAGCTGTCACAATACCTTAATATCAACACAGAAATTATCAGTCTATTTTTGTATTAAGATAATATGTAAATTTAAATTTATTTAAACTCGGTTGTGAATTTTGACATCTGCCACGGATCCGTGCCATGAGCATTGGTCAATAAATTTTCTGTGTAGGGTTCATCGACACTGCTCCGTGACAAGTATATTATTATGGGTTTTAGCCAAAATTTTCTTTAAATAACCATAATACTTAATTGATGTTAAGAAAACCTATATTTTGTTAATAGGCAGCAAATAGAATATTCGAACTCTTAGACTAAAATAGAATAAAACGTTATTTATTATACAAGGGAAAAAAGTAGTAGATTTTAGCTCCAGGTTGTGTTGTCTCCCGACGCGTAGCGTCTAGTGTTCTAGTGTTCTATTCGAAATGTTCAGTGTTCTTTTTGCTATGTACATATATGAGGATTTTTTATAATTGAGAGATAATTTATGAACTTTTAACCAAGAGGATATTTTCTCTAAATCACTTTTCATGTCCATGATAATTTTATTTGAATCTTTGGAGAAATAAATCCATGTCGTGTCATCTGCAAATAATTTGAGTTTTCCTCTCAATTCCAAGTTTGAAATTGAATTTATGTAGATTAAAAATAAAACTGGTCCCAATAGTGCGCGAAATGCTACTTTAGTGATCGAGAACTGATTGTTTTAACGAGTTAAAAAATATTCGAGATGAATTCATGTCATTTAGTTTGAAGAATTAAGTTCAAAGTTGATTTCAATAACTTTGATCTTCCATCATTTGTAATAATAAATAATAATCTGTCAAGAAGAAGTTTATTGAACGAAATTATGATAGTTCTCATTTCCATGGCAAACTATGCAGAAACAGTACTTGGTACTTTGAGGATAAAGATGAATTTCCCTCAATATCGAGAAAATATCATCATATAGGGAACAAGGAAAAAATATTGGCATTCCATTTGAAAAACAATATTTTTGGCTACTTGAACTTTTCTTAATGTTTTCCGAAAGTTGACAGATTGCTAATCATTTTTCCTGAGTCATGGAAATATAAAAAAATACCACCATAATCCGAGAAATTTTGAGGTTGGTGCAGTTCCACAAGTCGACTGCAGCTTTGCATTACTCTTAAAAAAGTTGATTGATTGGTTAATTCCCAAACACTGCTGCCATTGGGCTCACTATATTCCTAGCCAAAGGTACTCATAGCATAAGTGAACTGGTGTATTGGCTATTGAAAGTCTGCAAATGGGGTCGCCTGTAAATATGCTTCATATAATATAATTGCCTCCTCAAGAGACAATGACCAGTTTTGAATCTTATTCAGGGTTGGAATAAGTCGTGACTTTTATGAAAAATTAAAAAAAAGTCCCACCTTTTGAATTCATTCGGACTTTTTTGAATTAATTCACTTGAGAAAAATCACATTTCATTTACCTAAACAAAATACAAAAGAGTATCATTTTCGTTAAAGACATGCAATTTTTGTATAACAAACTGGAACTATTGATTCAATGAAAAATAATAAATTTTATGCAACTTATAACTTATTCAGAATCTACATAAGGGTCGCTTTACATTTCGCAATTATTAAAAAAAAACAGCAATTTTCATTGCATCGCAAGAACTGGGCCCGGACCTATTTATACAGGGTGTTACATAATTCAATACAAATATTTTAATGACACATTCCTGGGGTCAAAATAAGACTTTTTTTTCCTATAAACATGTGTCCTAAAATCCACCCCCTCCAAGCTACAGACATCGCAAGATGCGCAAAAAAAATCTTAAATTTTGAATTGTGGCTACAATTATGCATCAAATATTTCGAAAATTCACAGGCACTTGTATTTTTAGACGATCTATTCATTTCTTGATTAAAAAATGAGGTAACTTGAATATGCTTGAATCGAAAGGGGTGAATGAGGGTTGCATACAGATGTCTGTGGCTTGGAGGGGGTGGATTTTAGGACACATGTTTATAGGAAAAAAAAACTCTTATTTTGACCCCAGGAATATGTCATTAAAATATTTGTATTGAATTATGTAACACCCTGTATTGCGACAATTTGTATTGCTGGTGTATTATATTCATGCATCATGGTTTCCTGCTTATAATGCGCTGCTGCTTCGTTACCTACAATATTCTTGATCTTGTTGTGGTTCGCAAGTGTTGAAAGGGTTTGTTATCTCTTATCCCTGGTTATTAGTTTATTTATGCTGATTTGTTCTTGTATACTATATCAGCTGTCGAAAAATCAATTGCATGCGAAGAGAGAATTTCGATTTCTCAACACGGTACGCAAAATTAAATTTTGCCACCGTTATCCATAGCAACGGCCGCCAAACCACACGTCACTTCCGAATTTTACATTCTCAGAATACGACAATAACAAGGTTATTACCGTCAGCGTGAGAGCATACTTGCGTTTTGTCAAGAACTGTCGAAATATTTTGTATATATTCAAATATGTTATTTTCATATCAGTACTGTGACTGTTGATTAAATAAAATTGCTGTTGATTCTAAAGCAATAATATATTCATTCGTAATTATCTAGTTCATTGATTGCACAAAAAATAGTGTGTATAATACCATGTCCGTGAAACTTTTTACCTACCTTAAGATTATCTTGCCTCGGCCACTAAGAAGGTATTTTACGACCTTGGTATACAAAAAGCTATATTGTTGACACCTCCATCATTAAGAATTGATTTTACCTACCATAATTTTACAGATGTATATCCCGGCATCTCTACCTTTACGTCTACAATTATCGATGATTTGGAAGCAGCTCGCAGAAAATTCAATTGCGGCGATCCCACTCCTGAGGACGTCAGCAACAAAGAGTCCGTCCGTGAAACGAGGCAATCGATTAGAGAGAAGGCTATGAAGAATCAGCATGCCGTGTACAGGGGCTCGAGAGAAGTGGTGACAGCCGTTGATGATCATGCTATGGAGTTTTCAGACATCAGTGATAGCGATTGAGATATGCTATAGGGTTTGAGTGCTCTTCGAGAACTGGTATATCTCTTCGATTCTTCAGATTAGATGAAAGCGCCTTGGTGGTGGAAGGCAATATTCAAGATCACTGTAAGCATGTTACAAATTATAAGATTTTCACATGATATGTTTCGTCAACACGGTAGCTTTTTCGAGTGAAATAAAATATATATTGAAGACTGGAACCTTTGGTACGATAATACACTACACTCATGGGCGCCGCCAGGAAAAAATTCAGGGGGGGGGCGGATAGGACAAAATATTGAAAACAGTCGTGAACCATATTTGTATGTACATAAAATTAAAATAACATTCTTGAAATCATAAAACAACGTAAACAAATAACAATTAAAAATCACATTTGGATTAGGAAAAAGGAACATAGAAACCATGATTTCACAAACTTTCAGTTTTCATTCTGAAAATAGAAATTGCACTTTTGCACTCTTCTTTTATCATTTTTGCCGAATATATTGATTGCTTCTTCAGTAATTTGAAACTTTTTATTCTCTACAGTTTCTCTGTGGACACTCAGAAGGCATAAAATCCTATTAGCCTCGATTCTCCAATGGTAGATCTCAGCCATGTTTTTACCCTTCTCAGTGTACTAAAAGATCTTTCGATGATACAGGTGGTGGGAGGCATTGATAAAAATAATTTTAATAGCCTGAGATATAGCTGGAAAAAATTCACTTCCTTCAATAGTTCCTGGAATTCCATATATCATCATTATTACTATTGCTATTCTGAGTATTCTGTCTCCAGTATTGGATCCAAGTCGATGATTCTTCTTCAAAATTTTCAATATCGTAGGTTTTACCAATATTTTTCATTATGAGGCCTACGTCATTTTTCTTTTTCAGATTTTTGGGGTGTAAACATGATATTGAAAAGGCTGTTCGCGTATCTTCAGAGAACCGGATTTTCAGGGAAGATATGAGATATGGACTCCATATATGGAATGAAAAGAGAGATTCTGAAGTAGTCTTCTGCAGAAGCCATCTCAATATTTGTTCTATTGATCTGGCGTTTTGCTATGCGAGGTTGCTGTATTTCTATTCCAAATTCATTGGCAATTTCCATAGATTTTGTGAAAATACTCCCAAAACATTCATTTCCGTCTTTCCTATTATTTTCGAATATATTTTCTATGTGTTTTTGAACATTTAACAAATGTACAGTGTGTCCAGTTTTCGATGCTTTTGCTTGATATCTCAGTTATCTTTCCAGATAGAACCTTGCGATTTTTTCGGTCCTGTACCACTTTTCTGTGAAACTCAAGATGGCCTCATCAGATTTTGCATAACTGTTTTCGTTTATGAGATACAGGGCGATTTTGAAAATTTATACTTTTTGGACCCCCTCTATATCTACAAAGTTTCTCAGCGAAAATGTCAAATTGGAAACTTATCCCATACATAATTTTGCGCAGAATTCAGTGGCGCACTCAAAATTTTTTTTCTGGGTATGTTTTCGGAGATACGACTCAAACTCATGATTTTTCAAAAGGAACACCCTGTATTTTATAAGCTCATTAAATTCCTTATTTTTTCCCCATCAAAATGAAATATGATGAATAGGTATAACATTTTCAAAAATGCGCCAAAATCACTAAAACGTTGAATTTTAATAGTGGGCTATGGATTTTTCTTTTAAAAAAGTTCCAATTGAAGGAATATTTCATTTGATTCTTCCATGAATTTCGAAATTAATCAGTAACTTATTCATTGAATTGTTCAAATTGATGTCCACTTTCCCTCACATGCTTTCTCAATACGTCTCAATGCATTCAAAATCATTAAAGGATGTCTTTGTAATTCCTGGAAAACTGCCTCTGTTGTTGTACGAAGGTCTTCAAGATATTTGTGACTCTTACTGTATGAAGACGTATTGAGAAACTGTGTCAATTGTGTGTTATGGGAAATGGACATCAATTTGAACAATTCAGTGAATAAGTTATTGAATAATTCCGAAATTCAATTATATTTGTGAATATTTAATCTGGTGCTTATTCTACATTATGAACTTTTTATTACTATTTATTTGTTGCTATCAGGTACATAATTTTTGTGTTTTCTTAGTTAATTAGTGTTGGTATTGTTTTTGTCCTCTTTATGGAAAAATCAGAATGAATATTCCTTCAATTGGAACTTTTTTATAAGAAAAATCCATAGCCCACTATTAAAATTCAATGTTTCAGTGATTTCAGAGCATTTTTGAAAATTTCATATACATACATTGTAAATCATTTTGAAGAGAAAAAAATTGGGCATTTTATGAGCTTATAAAATACAGGGTGTTCCATTTAAAAAATCATAAGTTTGAGTCGTATCTCCAAAACCATTCCCCGAAAAAAAATTTTGAGTGCGCCACTGGATTCTGAGTAAACTTTCATATGGGATGAGATTCAAATCTGACATTTTTGCTGAGAAACTTCGTAGATATAGAGGGGGTCCAAAAAGTATAAATTTTTAAAATCGCCCTGTATCTCATAAACGGTAACAGTTATGCAAAATCTGATTGGGCCATCTTGAGTTTCACAAAAAAGTGGCACACGACCGCGAAACCCGCAAGGTTCTATCTCGAAAGATAACTGAGATATCACACAAAAATCGAAAACTGGACACACTGTACAGATTTTCCCTGCAAGGTATTGGTAACTGGCTTCAACTGGGCTGAGTATTTAGAAATTATGTTCAGACAAATGATAAACTTTGGAGTAGATGACGAACAAGAGAGTTGCTCAGCTTTGGTTCTTGTTGCTTGGTTGAAATCTCTGTTTGTAGTCAAATCATCTAACACTGATTTAATTTCAACAAAATGTTCGAAAAATAAACGTATCGATTTATATTTGGCGGTCCATCTAGTTTCAGGAAACGAAGGGATATATATTTCATTGATAACATAGTTATGATCGAAATCCTCAGACTGCATTTCCAGGGGGGGCGTCCGCCACCCCTGTCCCCTTTTCCCCCTGCCCCAGGAGAAGATCAAAAGTCTTATAGTTTGTGTAGTTTTTACAATTACTATCTTTTCCAATCCAAGTTAAGACCGAGTGAATTTAAATGTATACACATGATCATATAACGTAACTATGATATCAATATCGATGTTAACACCTCAATGAGTTGACCCCAGCTCATCAACAGACAACTCACCAACTCCTATTTCAACAATACCAACTCATCAACGGACCCATTTCATCAACACCCAACTCATCAACGACCCAACTCATCAATGACCCAACATATCAACGACCCAACTCATCAACTACCCAACTCATCAACTACCCAACTTATCAACGCACAACTCACCAACAATCCAACTCATCATCGACACACCAAATTCATCAATACCCAACTCATCATCGATCGAATTCATCAACGACCCACCTCATCAACGCAAACCTTTTCATATATACCCGATTCCTCAATGGCCAAATTAATCAACGCATCCATTTCATCAACACCCGATTTGTCAACGATCCAACTGGTCAACGACGCAACTCATCAACGACCCAACTCTTCAACAAACCAACTCACCAACGACCCAACTCATCGACTCACCAAATTCATCAATACCCAACTCATCATCGATCGACCTTTGCCTGAGCAAAGGTCTTAGGGGTGCCAACATATATATCTGCTCAGACAGCCAAGCCGCACTAAAAGCACTAAAATCATTCGTTTTCACATCAAAGATCACATGGGACTGCTTTGAAACACTCATGCAACTGAGAAAGGACAACAAAGTCACACTTATGTGGGTTCCAGGGCATTAAGGAATCAAAGGAAATGAGGCAGCTCATCGCCTTGCAAAAAAGGTGCAGCATCTGCACTTTTTGGTCCTGAGCCTTTTTGTGGGATAAGCAAATGTCACCTAAAGAAAGAACTCAGGAAATGGGAAGAAATTGAAAAGTCCTCCTACTGGAGGGCAACTCCAGGTCAACGACAAGCGAAAAGGTTCATCAACCATTCGCAAAACCGAGCCAAAGAGCTACTCAGCCCCAGCAAACCAGAGCTAAAGCTTATCACAGGCTTTCTCACAGGACACGGCCCTCTGAGGTACCACCTCAAAAAGATGGGCCTGGCGGAGACTGACACTTGCCGCTTTTGTAACAATGCGACCGAAACCGCGGAACACATACTTTGCTCATGTGAAGTATTAGTCCGTCTAAGGCTGAACCACCTAGAACAGGTCTATCTCACCCCTGCTGAGGTGGAAAATTCAACCGTCAGGAAAATTGTAGGCTTCATCAGAAGTCTAGGGTTAGAGGACCAAAACTAGATAGGGGTAATCACAATAGATCTTCTAGGTCGCAGTGATCGAGAGGTCTCCCAGCCTATACGACCCATCTACAATCTACAATCATCGATCGAACTCATCAACGACCCAACTCATCAACGCAGCCCTTTTCATCAATACCCAATTCATCTATGGCCGAATTCATCTACGTATCCATTTCATCAACACCCGATTCGTCAACGATCCAACTGGTCAACGACCCAACTTATCGACACACCAAATTCATCAATACCCAACTCATCATTGATCGAACTCATCAAAGACCCAACTCATCCACGCAACTCTTTTCATCAATACCCAATTCATCTATGGCCAAATTCATCAACGTATCCATTTCATCAACACACGATTTTTCAACGATCAAACAGGTCAACGACCCAACTCATCAACGAGCCAACTCATCAACGGCCCAACTTGTTGACCGTTGATTAAATGGAAATTGGCAAGTTGTCCGTTGATAAGCTAGGTTGACCCGATAACACATGTAGCCTAGGCCGCTATGCTGCTTCTCATCTCCTTCCCTTTGGTTGAACTGGCACAACAAAATGAACGGAAAGAGATACCCGGCACGTCATCGACAACAGAGTGTGCATGAATCATAACGTAGATCTACGAAGAGCTCTTTGATTTCTTGCCTCTGAAACTTTAAAATTCAACAAAAAACAGAACCATCCAGCATCAGAAATCAATGTACACAACACTGCTTGGCTTGATGCTAAGTCGATGTATTGTCTATCATTCAGCTAAATTTATTTCCATTGATTTCTGCAGTACTAGAGATGATGTCAAAGTCAT